TGACCCGGATAGTTGACTTTAACAGAGACATCATTTAAAAAATTATTGCTGATAAACCACTAAAAATAAGAGAAAGAATTCCCTCCGGATGGTGTTCCGGTACGCCCATCGAGGAGTATTTAACGTCCTGCAATGGCAAATCACCGTCCCGTGACTCGGCGTAGATTTATCGCTGTTGCACTAGCATGGAACAATCTTAAATAAATCCTGTAGAGGATCGCTGGGGGATTTCAATTTTTTAATACTTTACGTGCAAAATATCTCAGGTCTAAATCGCACCTGTAAATCTTTCAAAGATTTATCTTACTTTCCCCAAATTAGAAAAAATCCACACCGACTAGGGCGGGCTGATTAAATTCCGTTTCCAGCTTAGCAGGCCTGAGTTATCTTACAATGGCGTGGAAGAAAAAAAGTAATTTTAAAAGTGTCTCCTTCGTTCCAAAGGGTTCTTCAATTGCGTTCTGTTCTTAAATATGAACAATAACAGGAAATTAGCGGGGTGTGTTACTCTAACACAAATGACAAAACCAGCTGTTCTCTTTTCCTGACTGGTACATATGTTATTAATTTTTTTCAAATATTAAGTTAAAGCTTTTTAATATTACTATGAAAATAAAGGAACTTGATCAATTACGGTTTTAGTAAAAAACACTCCAGTTTGTTCACAAGAACAATAAAACTTCAAAAAAAATTTGTTTAATTTTCTTCTTTCAAGACTTCAATGAAACTTTTGCCACAGTAATGGAGTTTTTGGCATTCGGTTAATTGTTTTTTTTTTTTTAGTTAAGTTTCGCTTAAAGTTTTTACATCTGATTATGACTCACCATGTATAATAATGCAAAAACCTTGTCGACTAGCGAATAGTGGAGCGCGATTATTTTGCGACAGGAGAATTTAACGAGAATTATAATTTTTGATTTAGAGACGAGCGGGAAAGCGCATTTTATTTCCGCAAATGTTGATTTAAGTTGATATAAAGTTGGCGCTTGCCGAGAAGCTGGAAGTTTAGCAGGAGGAAAGCCCCAGAGATACATTTTGTCATAATTAAACGGTTGGAATGCAAGAACTAAATTCTGCATTTTAAGGCGCTTTTGCAAAAAAAAATGAGAGCTCCGCGGTGATTTTCAATTCGAAAAGTGTTTCGTTTGCAGCTATTTGTGTAATATTGCGTTACTACTTCTAAAGCAGGTTGCTAATTAATTATGAATTTCTCGCTTGCCTCCATGGGGGGCGCATTCCACAAATTAAGTGAAATATCAGTAAATTACGCCGTGTTTGCAGACAAACAAATTCCTTTGATTCTTTATGAAAACTAACAAATTAAATTAAATAACAAGGGTGCTTTTGAGTGTTATTTTGTAACAATTACGCAGACCGACAAAAGCTTAAATCAGATACAGGTCCGTACTTTCCTCAAGACTGCCGACATGGTAAATCCAAATCCGATCTCATAATTGCACATCGGGCTTTCGAAAGATCTTAACTTAGAAAGTACAAAAACATAGTTGTTCGCTACGTTTGAGGTAATTTTCTCGACAAAACTAGTTATAGCGTCTGAAAACTGATCCGTTTTGAGTGAACAGTGTAGGCTAACCTCCCTTGCGCTTCGTAAGCGTTCCGAACAAGATCGCATTCTGCTTAAATTTAAACTGTTCACGATGTATAAATGTTTTTATATGATTTAGGTGACCTTTTTTAAGATTTTTTTTGTGAGTTCTACTTTTAGCGTTACCGTCGATTTATTCAATGGCGTAGCAAACTTTTTTCAGGTTTCAGAGATCCCTTTCATTTTCACGTAGGTACTTAAGTTAAACCCTGTATGTTAGCAAGCGGAATTCCCCAGTCACAGGCGTAAATTTTTTATTTACAGTACCCATTCAGAAGTTAACTAGTAATTAATTCTTCCTCTTTAATTTAAATAATGGAAGTGTCTTTTTCTGGTCTTCCGAGCCGAACCTCCGCGATTAGCCTTAAATATCACCTCGGTCGCTGATATATCGCCGAAAATTTTTGGAGTCACGAGCTGACCAATTTACGTTTAATTCCACCTCTTATAAAAAATGGGCGCCATAAAGAACCCCACGAATAAATGTTTCTCCAAAGAAAGAAAAGTGTAGACCGTATCCGAAAGACAAAGCCTATAATTTAAATTAAAACTACCCATTAAGCCCAAAAGCTCGCCATGAATCGATACCAAATGAATTGCCGGGGGAGAAGAAAAGCGTTCTCTAATGCCCCTGCGATCCGTAATCAATAGCTAAGGAAAATAATGTTAACGATAAGTTATTTAATGAGAGATCTCGCGTCCGCCCGCCCGGCAACGGAAATAATAAGGTAAATTCGAGATGCATCCGTTCGACTAAATCAGAATCGGGGAAAAGACAACTTAACAAATTTAATTATATTAAAAGACGAGATGGAAAACCGGGAGAGTTAGAAAAAGAGGAGAAAACGAAACACTCCGACAAAGTTGAGGAGGTACTTTCTTAATGGAGCATTACAAGCGAAGTGATATAATTAGTCTGAAATTTTCTATGAATCAGCGCAAAAGTTTTCATTGACACATTCTCATTTTATTTTAACGGGGACGTGAAGGACGAATTTCAAAATTTGAGACAAGCCGACGTTTTGCTCGCGATAAAATATCGACAGTAGATTTTTGAATGACGCCAATTATTATTCTTTGAAATGAAACAAATTTTTCAATTAATACCGTACTGGAAAGGAAGGTTAACAGGACATTCTTCAACATTTAACGCCGTAGTAATGTCTTGGAAAATGAAACACTGTACCAGAATTGTTATTTTAATGTGAAAATTAGCACAAATAACTGAAGATCTAATTTCTGTGCGATCAATTATAATAAACTAAAGTCGTTGGTCTCCTATAGACGATTGTAAGCTGCGTACGATGTGACATAGGTACTATGTTTAGTATGAAAATGTATAAATGCGATCTCCAACACTGTTGCCAGATATTTTTTTAGAAAGAACCAAATCTGAGCGAATTTAGCGTCCCATTCGTTGAAAAAAAAAAAAAAACAAATTTGCGGAAAAGATGAAAAGATTCATATGCTTATTCACTTCAAACATTCTTATTCATTTCACTAAACAAATACTCAGGTAAAAACACTCGGATACAATTTAAACAAACAATATAAACTAGAGATAACAGCTACTGGCCAAAAAAATTAACATATATGTAATTTTGAAATTACATTTGTTTTCCATATACCATATGGTGCATTTATAAAATAATGCCACTATAATTATCAAAAAATTAACTATAATATTAAATACACACTTTAGGCCAGTCAAATTGTCGAAAATACCTCGTTTTTTTTTTACCAAAATTGAGTTCAGTAAACAAAGATATGTAAAAATTATGAAAAATTTTGTAGAATGAACTACTTTACCCCAGCTGAATGTTAGAATTGAATGAACCCCAGTTGAATGTTATGGCTTCACTTTCAAAATGGCATCCAAAGTTCGCAAAAAATATTTTAGAAAAAATTTAGACAAAAGTTGTGGAACTTTTTATAACAAAAATTCTGTTCCCAGTCCGATGTCAATTAACAAACAAATGTATTAATTATTGCAAAAAACGGTTAAAAATCGCATTTTTTAAAAACTTCTGTATTTTTAAAACGAAAAAAGATTTTTTTACGAAACTTTCAGAATATGTAGTCCTTAGCAAGTAGAATAAATGCATGTTTGTAAAATTGTAAAATATTTTATAGTTTTTGCAAAAATTGAGTTTTTCGAAAAAATACATTCTTTTCAAGTTTCAATAAATCATCAGGAACGCATCTACGTGACCCATCTTGGGCTTAAAGTTTTCTCTAAGAGTTGTACTTGCCTGTGCAAATTGTGCGCGTATTGCAAAATAATTGGAAATATGCATAATAACCTTTCAAAATTGAGCAGGCACGCCAAACACTAACTGAGGACGCGGAGTTCACAGTCTTTCTCACCACGCGCATCAAAGGGGTGGCAAGCATTTTACGGGGCCCAACTGTAAAAAAAGAGGTCAATCATTGCGGACTATTTTTTATATTGAAGTAAAGGTATTCAGCTACAACTTGCGTAAATTTCAGACCATAATATTAATAAATGGGGTCGTAGCGATTTTTTGAAAAAAAAAATTCTCGACTCCCGAAATAATAAATTAAAGTTTCGATAGATTTTTCGCAAATTTCCAATTATTTTGGAATACGCGCACAATTTGCAGCGGAAAGTACAAATCTTAGAGAAAATTTTATGCCCAAGATAGGTCACGTAAGTGTATTACTGTGGACATGATTTATTGAAGCTTGAAAAAAAATATTATTTTCGAAAAACTCAATTTTTGCAAAAACTATAAAATATTTTACAATTTTACAAACATGCATTTATTCTACTTGCTAAGGACTACATACTCCGAAAGTTTCGTAAAAAAAATTCGCTTTAAAGATACAGAAGTTTAAAAAAATGCGATTTTTAACAAAATTGCACTTATTCTGCTTGCCAAAGAACACATTCTGGGCTAAAAAAAATCTCTTCGTTTTAAAGATACGAAGTTTTTAAAAAAGTGATTTTTAACTGTTTTTTTGCAATAACTAATACATTAGTTTGTCAGTTGACATCGAACTGGGATCAGAATTTTTGTTATAAAAAGTTCCACAACTTTTGTCTAAATCATTTTTTTCTAAAATGTTTAATATTTTTTAAACAAAGCAAAACTGTTTTTTACGAACTTTGGACGCCATTTTAAAAATGACAATGCGACCTCTAAAAATGTTTAAAATGCATAGAAAAAACATAGCTTAATTTAGAAATAGACAATTACAGTCAGGTCTTTTAAACATGTTTATTAGATTAGATAATCATTTCTCGAAATAACGTTCCAAAAGCCAGATTTATTTAAAAAACGTCATAGGCTTTCTTCACTCTATGCAGCTTACAAAGTTTATAAGACACCAACGACTAAGGAAGTTCATTCCAAAAAAAAAAAGTTAAATTTTAACCTCTTCTTCTTCCTCCCAAAAACGGAGCTATTTGCAGTTCCATATCCACACATGAAATAGGCGTATCGGAATCAAAACCCCACAGTTTTATTTTCCACATGGCGTCTCCTATCGGAAGTAATCTGAGAAAATCGGATTTTACAGGACAGTCCACCAGTCTATATTCTCCCTGAAATAACACACACGATAGGTCATAACAACTCACGTGCTATTTTAATTAAAAAACTAATTTTAACAACATTCACAGAATTCACATATCTGGGAAAAAATTGTAAAGGAAAAAGTTTTAGGAAATTTTCTTGATGCCGAAGAAAAATGTGTAAAAAAACAATCGCATTTCTAAAATATAAAACAATCTTTTATTTTTTAAAAGAACCTACCTATAATTATTATTTTTGTACGTAATTTGCGCAATATTTTTATACTGGTAGAATTAATTTCCAATCAAAAGGAAAGTTGAACAATTGTTGGGTATTTTTTATTTAAAAAATTGGGTTTTTGAAATTAATTTTCTAATAAACTTTTTACATAAGTATGTCTACATTTTGCCTCATTCAATTACTATAACAGCAAAGTAAATTGCAATAAAAATGAAAAGAGATGTAGTACAATCCTCTCATTTTAACTCCCTATTAATGTAAATAACATTTCTAACACAGGACCAAATTTTTATCACATCCTTAGGATACGAAGTCATAGAGGCGGTAATAAAGAAGACCATATCTTTCTCATCTCGTCCACCGAACGATACAAAAAAGTATTACTATAATAAAGACGGCCTGCCAGCTTCAGTCCCGACTCACAGAAATTAACTTGTTGGTAAATTAAATCCCTCATCTCTTAACATTAATCCGGCGTAATCGAAATTAAATAACCAAAGAAACCGTTAATATTATTAGGTACTGATTGGATTGCTGATTAGCGGGTGTCGTAAAATTTTGATGGTTTCGGGGGTAATGAGGTAAGTAATTGTGGCGCCATCTCGGCCGTACGAACGTCAGTCAGACTGGTTTTTTAATTGTCGGGTAGATTAAAGTAATTGCCCATGATTGTAAGGGATTCCGCGGATTTTTTCCAATCTGCACTTAGATGGACGATTCGAATCAATTTTATGATGTATTTATTACTACTGCTTACTAAATTACATACCGAAGAGATCTTTTGTTTTGTGTCAGTCGTTGGTCTCATATAAACGTTGTAGACTGCATACCGTACGACGCAGTGTATCAGGCCAGTATGTTTCGTATGAAAATATATGAAAAAGGAAATGTACAGCATGCAGATAATTAGAAATTAGGTACCAAAAATAAACGGAAAACTATTCATGCGTAAGTATTTTCGATATTCTCTCTACCGATAACTTGAACATATTCTCAACTAGTTACTGTAAGTCTGTTTGGGAATGAAAGAGAGTAATAAAACCCCGAGATTAGAACCGGCCATGGGCGTGGTAATATTTCGTTTCAGGTAATATTGTTTGGGTAAAATGTCGAGCTTATTAGATTACGTACCTGCTAATCGCGTGAAATGATGTGCGCTGTCTCAGAATGAGAAGATTATTATATTAAATGTATTTAATGCATTGAAACACCAAAATCCTACCAACAGTGTTGACGACATCGTGGAAAAGTGTTCCAAAATGACAGGGATTGGAAAATCGACTATCTACAGACTTTTAAAGGAAACAAAAAATGAACAAGATACTGTAAATCCCCCAAAATCATCTACAGGGAGGTCAAAAGTCGTTATAGATGATTTCTTCAAAAATGTCATTCGCAGAAAAGTACACTCATTTTATTTTAAAAAAGAAATACCAACGCTAAACAAAATTTTAAGTGAACTTTCAGAGGACAACGATTTGCCAAAAATCAGTAGAAGCAAATTATGGGCCGTCTTACGAGAGTTGAATTTTTGCTGGGAAAAGCAGAACAGGAAGTCAGTTCTTATCGATAAAGATGAAATTATTTGTTGGCGAAGATCCTACTTAAGATCAATTAGAAAATTCCGTGACGAAGGGAGGAATATTTATTATCTAGACGAAACTTGGGTCAACGAGGGATATACTGTAACAAAAGTATGGCAAGATAAAAATGTAAAAAGTTTTCGACAAGCATTTTTGGATGGACTTTCAACAGGGTTCAAGGCACCTTCAGGTAAAGGGCGAAGATTAATAGTGACACATATAGGTAGTGCCAGTGGTTTTGTAGATGGCGGTTTACTTTTATTTGAATCTAAAAATACAGGTGACTATCACGAAGACATGAACGCAGATGTTTTCGAAGAGTATTTTACACAGATGTTGGATCTTATTCCTCCGGGGTCTGTAATTGTCATGGATAATGCCAGTTACCATTCACGGCAGACCGAGCGGACGCCTACGACTGCTTGGAGGAAAGCCGATATAATTCAATGGTTATCCGGAAAAAACATTTCTTTTGAAACAAATATGGTGAAAAAGGAACTTTTGACACTTGTCAATCTTAATAAAGATCAGAAAAAATATGTTATCGATGAAATGGCAACAAATCGCCAAATAACGGTACTACGGTTACCACCTTATCACTGTGAACTTAACCCAATCGAATTAGTCTGGGCGCAGGTAAAAGGAGATGTAGCGCGAAATAATACGACGTTTAAATTAAGTGACGTGAAAATTTTGTTAAAAAATTCCTTGGAACGAGTAACTGCAGATAACTGGCAAAGATGTATACATCATGTACAAAAAGAAGAGGAGAAAATGTGGGAACTCGATAATTTAATTGACGTTACTGTGGAACCTATCGTTATCAATCTAGGAGACGAAGATAATTCATCAGAATATTCAGAGGATGAATTTTAATATACCTACTTTTTTATTTTCTTTATTGTACATTTATACAACACTACATTTACTCACCATAATTTGAATTTTCAAAATACATATATTTTTGTGTGGAATAAAAGTCTATTCATTAAATTTAAATAAATATTTTGATAATAATATTGAATAATTTTATTTGAATTACTAAAAACCCTCTTAACCCGGTTATGATGCTTAAAGTAGCCTCATATTTTGAAATGCTGTTTTTATATTGTTTACTTATAAGAGAAATGGACCGAGAAATTGAAGCGGCATAGACAAAGACGGATTGTCGGGGATTAAATTTTCTGCTACTACTACCTACTACCTACTACAATTTAGTACAATCCGGTCACACAAAGTTTTTTTAAAAGTACACCTCATCTATACCGATAATACATAATATAAAAATATTGAATATAAGCACCAGTACTACATTTATTTACGATTTGCATACATAATAAGCTATTATTACTCTCTTTCATTTCTAAACAGACTATAGAACGTCGACGATTCTTCAAAAAATAATATATATGTAGAATTGGAGATAGAGTAGATTTGAATTATGTGGGAGGAAAACCAGCAAACAATTTCTGTTTTAGTGAGGGGTAATTGGTTTTCGGCGGGCCTACTATCCCTTTTCCGCTGTGCGTGTTAATTACAATTTCCATCAAAGTATTAAAACGGTTTTTTAGGGGTACTCCGAAAGAATCCGGTAAATAAATATAAATGCAAAGCGTCGGAATATTTTCACGCCACAGAGGCAAGAATAATTGTAAAATAAAGCTACTTAATGCGAAGTTGAAAACTTCACTCGAAAATGTAGAGCGGTACACGGTGCCGAACCAGTCGTCGACCAGAAGTCTTAAATATTTTATAATTTATCAGCAGGGGACCCGGGAAAGTGTATTAGGATTTAAACACTGCCGGTTCACGTCGTTTAATTACCGAAATAATTATTCACAGATTAATAAGCGGGAGCCATTCTCATCGCGCGATAATTCCTTTTATTATACTTTGTAATTGCCCGCTATGCCGTCGAAATTTTACCGACACCATTTTTATTTTTCTTTGACAATGGTGCCGGGAAAACGCTCCTTTGTTTTTTAATTCCGGGATAATTTCCAATCCCCTTCATAACTGCTGTAAAGATTATCGTAAAAAGTTTTATTTTATCTACTTCGAATTCGTCGCGTCCTGGGATACAGTTGAAAAGTAGGAATTTTTTTTTTACGGAAAATATAATCCGTGTAAGTTAATAATTCTGTTGTCTTGAAATGTACCAAAATGTTGTTTTAAGTGGACCGGTGGATGTGAACAACACCGAAGAGCATATTTTTAGGCATTATTGAAATGAGGATTCACTATCCTAGGATTCGACTAGCACTATTGCCAAGTTGGTTTGAAATTCCCCAATATTATAAGTCGAGGCATTTTAAAAACAATAAAAGAAACAACTTTTTATTCTTAATCTATCTTATGATGAAGAATGGCAGTCAAACTTTCAACACACCGTAAATATGTAGTCAAAGAATGCCTCTACAGTGAATAATATTCAACTTACCGGCTTGATTGGACATAAGACAGGCTTATCAAAGTGCTCCATGAATGGAGTCCACGCTTGGTTCTTCATCACCATATATTTGCAAATTTCCTTGTTCTTATAGTCTTTCAGAACATATTCGCAACTATCTGGGTTTCCCGAAGCATCACATTTCCAAAAAGTAAACGACATCTAAAAAAAACAATATATAAAATTCTACTGTTCACACTATTTTATACCTTCAATGATAATAATAAATTATTTATACATTTTTTAAGTGTTTTCTATAAAATATATATTTTTATAAATCTTCATTCGTTTAATTAATTATTATTAACCGCGAGAACGTATTATAATATATAAAAAATCACGATTCACATGTTGGCATAGATTTTTTATTAATATTCACAAAAAGTACATAAACAAATTTCCCGTTGGGGGCACAATATTCGCGATCAAATTAATTTTTAGGGAAAATTTCACCCTCGCAAACTTCCTTTCAACGCCGTAAAGTGGGTGAAACGCAATTTCACTGGCAACACGAGACACTTTTAAGATGAAACCGATAGTATTGTGAAGCGCCTTTTGAACCCAGTACGGACGACAGCTTGTTTTACATCGAGTTTAAGAAGTTTAATTGACATCGACATTTAATAAGAAGCGACTCGGACGACGTCAATTTACTTGTACAATTAGAAAAAAACCCAACTTATTAATTTCCCCCGTTGCCTATCGAATAAAAACACAAAAATTCGCGGAAATTCGCTGTTAATTCATCGAGAAATAATGTTAGAAAATACATCCTTTCTGACATGAAAAGATATGAGTGTGAAGCTCTTAAATACTTTGTACATTGTGCCTTTTATTCGAGAACAAGATGCTTTTATTGTAACGGCTCATTTTTGAAGTGGAACTCAAAATGAAGACGGGTCATGGACAAACTCTTTACAACCCTGCATTGAGCAATTTATGACGGTATTTTCAGACGCAAACATTAATTATGGCCGGAAATAACCCGTTGTCCAAAAAATAAGGTGAATTTGTTTAAAAAATAAAAAATATTTTTTTATGCTTCAATATCAATTTCGTCACCTTCAAAGTAATCCCTACCTGATACAATGCACTTATGCCAACGGTTTTTCCAACTCTCGACACAGTCTGAAAAGTCCTTTTCCGGTATAGCCTTCAATACTTTCGTCGATTCGGATTTCATTTCCTTGTTCGCGTCGAAACGGTGTCCACGGAGTGGTCTTTTGAGTTTAGGGAATAGCCAGACGTCACTCGGTGCTAAATCAGGCGAATACGGTGGTTGTGGAACGATGAGTTGAATTTTTGGCGAAATGGACTCGAATTATCACAGCCACACACAAAAAAAAAGTTGGGTATACTTTTTATGCGACATATACTTTTCGTAGTAATTTGGCCTCCTGAACACGAATCTGGGGTCAGAGGTAAAATTTGTAGGCAGAGTCATAATTTTAGGCCGAGTAGGCGGCATTTTTTCGGCAAAGTCACATTTTTAGATTGAAGGCATAAGTAGATGCAGTTATGTGCTGTGTGGCAGTAATGTGTCCTTTTCCTTGAACTTTAAAATTATTAAGAAATAAAAGCATATAAATGCCATAGGAAAACTGCATAAAAAAATCTGATTGGAAAACAATAAGCCCATGCACGACTAAATAAATGAAAGAATAAAGTAGAAACTTTTTTGTCTTGTCCCATGGAAACAAGCACATCACACTACACATCATTACATGTATAGAGTCCTTAAGTCATTTTTTTAAGCGAAGTCACATTTTTAGACGGAGTGGAATCTTTTACCTTGATTTATGAAAATCTGGCTCCAGATGTGTGATTAATGAAGATGAGATCAACCAGCAATCCTTATGATGCCAAATTTTACTGAAATCGGTGGATTTTAAAAAAGTACACCCGCCATATTGGATCAGCCATCTTGAATTTTTACGATGTAAATTCATATTCGTAATCAGCGACCCAAAAAAACCCTTTATACAAAATCTGGTCAAAATCCGCTCAGAATTTGAAAATAGCGATTCCTGCTCACTTTTTTGAGGTTACAAAAAAAACCACACGTTCTAGCTCAATTCTGACAGTGGATTTGAATTCAGCAGAGTCTTTTACATAAAAATGTACTATTTGATGAGGAAATAATTTTTTTCCAAATTTTCCCAGTAAATTTTCAATTTTCACTATTTTTCACAAGTTTTTTGAGGTTAGGAAAAAATTGTGACGTGATGGGCCAATTCTGACCCCAGATTCGTGTTCAGGAGGCCAAATTACTACGAAAAATATGTCGCATAAAAAGTATACCCAACTTTTTTTTTTGTGTGTATCAATGCAGTGTGAGCCGGTGCATCAACATGATGCAAAAACTAAGAGTTGTCTGTCCATAATTCCGGCCTTTTGCGGCGAATAGCATCACGCAAACGACGCATAACACTCAAATAATATTCCTTGTTGACCGGTTTGGACGGTTGGAAGAAATTCATAATAAATAGTGCACTACGCCACGATAATCAAAGGAAACTGTCAACATGACCCTGATTTTTGAGTGACTGACGTGTTTTTTTCGGTCTTGACGAACGAGAACGAGATTTGACGCGTCTAAAACACAACAAATTTTTTAAAATGGGATTTGTCGAACCTTTTGAAATGCCAACAGTATCAACAAGGTCTCTCATTGTTAATCGACGGTTTTCGAGCACAAGATCTTTGATTTGATAACGTATTATTCATCTGTTGACGTTGATGGTCGTCCGGAACTCTTTTCGTCCTTAACGCCTTCTCTGCCTTCTTTAAAGTCTTTGAACCATTTGTAAATATTTTTTGCGACATAACCTTATCACTAAATTCCTTGTGTATAACATCGTCAACGTTTCCGCGGCAGAATATTCATTACGCAAATAAAATTTAATGCAAATTCTTTGCTTAACAAAATCAGACATACAGAAAATCGATAAACTCACTTTCACTCACTGCAGTAGTTGAATATATTGACTTGAAACTCCGCATAAATATCAGGGATAGACTACCAACCTACAAAAAAATTAAACCCTTATTTTAGAGTGATTTTTAGTACAATTACATGATGGTGTGGGTTACTTTCAACAAGATGAGTCTACCGCGCATACTGCAAGAGCAACAATTCAATTTTTGCAAGAGTTTTTATGAAAATCACTGATTGGACAAGGGTTATAGCCAGCAAGGTCACCATATCTAACTCCTTTACATAATTTTTTGTATGGATATCTGACCGTTACTATTTTTAAAGCAGCAATACGCACACAACATCGAAGAATTAGAAACGGCAATTATTCGACTAATTAGGGATATAACAGAAGAACAATTCTCCTTTTAAAAGTAATATAGATATAAATAAAATTTTAATTTCCAACGTAGTCAACGTATTTTTTTTCTGTATATATCCGTCCCTAAAATCATAAAATTACTCATCTTAAACACGCCATATTTATACAACCTTTTTCAGTCATGTTTTTTTACTACTCAATTTGTTTTATCCAATATTGACCTTTCCTATTGACGGCATCCAAACATGAACCGTCCCAACTATTATTCATTCCACTTTTTACGCAAACAGCCTACGTAAAAAGGGCCCATTCTCTCGTCTCTGTACATTAATGAGACCGCAACCCTATTTACCAAATAAATTAATAATCCAACCCTGCCAGAACAACAATTAATCACTGGAATTTCCAGATCTAGACAGCCCTGCGCAGTATAATTATCTTTTAATTATGGAGTTCTCTGATTAACACTTAACAGCTGGAAGTATAGTTTGATGAAGATGTCTGTTTAACGAAGGCGGCGGTAAATAAGGGAACATTATCCCCATTTGGTTAAATACAATAGTAGTAAGTTGTTCACCTTTCATCGGTTTTAATCAGCAATAAATTAAATTGTAAAAACAAACATGAAACTTATCACCGATTTAACTGAAAAATTACCGCAGATATTTAAAAAATTAAGATTTTATTTGTGAATATTCACTACGTGAATGAAAATAAAATGAAAATAACCTTGCGCGCTACTATACAATTATTCATTTATATCGAAAAATTTTTATTAGAAAATACCCCATCGTTTTTTTAACAGTGTAGATAAGTAAATTTTTTTCGTTACCCTCGATGCGAGCGTTCTTCTCATAACCGAAACGATCTGAAAAATAACTTCGGTGTGGCTGGGCCATAATTCCAAATGAAAAGTTTGTCGTTGTCAACGTTTTAATGAATTTCGCTCTCCGTACTATCCGCGGTGCTCGATCAACAACTTTTCGGGGTCGAGGATGATTTATTACGTCTGCTAATACACAGGGTTAGCTTTATCCCCCATCACCCGAACATATTTTAATTTTCATATATAAAATTGCTTTCGTATTGATGATGAGGCCCAGCTTATTATATTTTTTCATTTGAAGTAAAATAAATATTACAACGTAAAAGCAGTAGATATATCACTGAAGGAAATTTCTAAAAAATAGACACATCGCTTAAACTGCGGTACGATAAAATGACAATAAATATGAAACATTTCTCAATTAGAGAATATTTATGATTGACGTATGAAATTTATTTCAAATAGAAATATTAAAACTGCCCATGAAAATTTTTTAATGTTCGAGATCGACAATAGTAATAACCGTGATTTATTTACTGCATTTAAAAGACATTAAACTAATTCACACAAATCCATTTTTTTATTTTTTTCAAATGAAATCAAACAACCAGAAATCTAGTAAGCACAGACAAAATAGCTATCGCAACAGACCGCTACTGGAATAGGCCAGCCAGTGGCGGCTCGTCGGGGTGGGCAGGGTGGTCAGTGGCCACCCTGAAATTTTCAGAAGAATAAACAAAAATTTGTGTATATATTTATCAAAGTGATTTGACAATTCTTATAAAATTAAATCTAAAAGGCGTTACCCCCTTTGAAACTCCCCCTACCAAATTTTTAAATTATATTTTAATCATGATCACACCAGCAACCAACATAACATTCGGGCGAGCCCGTGGCCGCTGAATTAAACAACGCCGTACCCCAACCATACCTTGCATGCTTATACGCACCTAGGACTAGACAGTAATCGGAAACGTAAGTCGTTCACTAATTTAGAATATTTGGCCCAAATCGGGCGACCCCGCACACCGCACACA